ACCTGTAGCGCCTGCCCGAGGGCAACAGCTCAAACATATGGGACCCAGGATGTGAGCTGATGATGTTTCTTGCCCTACTGAGGCAGCGGGAGGTGTAAATGTCCATCAGTGAGGGGAGAGGGCAACCAACGATCTTCTGTGCTGCTTTGATTACAGTCTGAAGCCTCCTCCTGTCTGCCCCGGTGCAGCTTCCATATCATAGTGTAATACAGCAGACTCTCAATGAACAGCTGGTAGAAAGTCAGTTTAGTGTCCAACTTGTTCTTTCTGAGGAAGTCCTCAGGAAGTTGCAGACGCTGCTGGGCTTTCTTGGTGACAGCTGTGATGTTGTCGGACCATTTGAGGTCAGCAGAGATGAAACCTGAAGGAGTGGACCCTCTCCACACACCCGCCGTTGATCTGTTTCTGACGAATGCCCCATGACGACTGTTCCCACTTTTCATTTTGCCTCTTCAGATACTCCTCCATTAGCAGTTTCTACGTGTGATTTCAAGGTGACAACATATAAGGTACCAAGAAAAGGTACCTTTTCATCATCTCTGGATGTGACTCACACTTCTGGTCTATTAGTCTCAGACAGTGTATAAAAACAGCACACCATCTCGTTTTGTGTAACCGTAACATCACACGCATTGTTATTTTTGTACCAACAAAATGATTCCCACACTTTAATACAGATACAACAAATGTCTGTCTCCTTAAACCAGACTTCAGAACGTTAACAGGCCGTGTTTGGGTGATGTTCTGATGAAATATGAGCAAAAAAGCCGACTCAAAAGGCGAAAAATTAGTTTGAGGCTGGTATCATGTTTTATTTTATATATATATATATATTTATATTGTAAATTTAACTTCTTCACCCACAGAAAAATTACTGTATGCTTCAAATAATTTTTCAGGTATTAAGACCTGCTGGAGTGTGAATTCTGCCAGCGGGAGAGTCTACGTCCTGGAAGACTGTTCAGTGAACGTTTCCAGTGAATCCTGACACCCAGCAGCCAGACTCTACGTTTAGGTCTAACATAAAGAGCCATGTTTGAGTTCAAAACTAATGCAAAGTATGCTACATGGTACAGCAACACCACAAAAAGGTGCAAACATTCACCTCGTTTCCTTTTTAACAAAGAAGTTGAATTGAATTTTAGCTGAGGCATCTACAAAATTTAGTTTTTAAACAATCAAGTAAACGTAACAACACTAATCAGAGATAAATCAAACTAAATTCTACGTGTTTTTCTGATTAGTACAACACTAGAAGTCCAAAATCACACTTGTGGCTCTCTAACAATACAGTACAATTCTTTGTAGAACAGATAAAAGTCTCAGAATTGTTCCAGAGACTTGGTGAGTAAATGTGAAACTGGTATGTTGGTTCGTGGTTGTCATGAGGAAATGCTTACAGGCAACTTAATGTTTAACATCTGAGCAGGTTAAATATGACCTTGCTGTTTAGTATTAAACACAAAGCAGAGCTGAGCCTGATGGGAATGACTTTAGCTGGTAGCTCAGTAAGTATTGGACAAATTGACATTTTAACTCGATGATGGCATCACATGAAAATTTGGGTTTTTACTGTTTCTCAGTTTAATAGTTGTGGAGACATCTCCCTCTGGTGGTTCAAGATGTCTGCTGCAGTTCAACACATTCTCTGCAACAGTGTTTAAGTCGGTGGTATAAGTCAAAGAAGCATTAACATGAATGTTGGGACTCCAAGTAGCTTCTGAAGTATTTTAACCAATTAGACATTTTAACCAGCTACACACTGCTACTGCATAAAGACCATTCAATTCAAGTGATTATATTTGAGTCATACGGAGTAGTTCTGTCAAAAGTCATCGCCACAACTAAGTATATTGTATTGTATTACATTTCCCTCCTAATTACTTTGGATCTAGCTCTCAGACTGTGTCTATTGTCTCCCCTGGTGGTTATAATTGGAACACTCACATTCACCTGTTATTTCATTATTAAACTCATTTAATCAAATGACGTTTAGAAGGACTTTGTAACTAGACTGTGAATGCATTTTCCTGGAATTTTGTATAAAAAAATTTGTAAAAACAATTTACAGGGATTTTCTGGGAAAAACTCTCTGGTGGTGTGTTCAAATGCTTTGCCTGATCATAAATGTTTCCACCACACACTCATGGAATCCATCCATTATCTGTACTTGCTGGCCTTCATGGGCTCAAAGGGGGAACCAGTCCAAACACAGTGGTGGAAGATCTTTGACTTGTACAAATAATATCACATAAAAACTCCAGCACAAATACTAAAGTACTCTTAGCCAAAAGTACTTGCGTGTATGTATCTAAGGTTTAAAAAGTGAAAGTATTTACTGCAAGACTTCGTATAAGACTCATGCAGTGGTTCTCCAGCCCCGTTGCTATGGTTACAAGACAAATTTGAGGTTTAAAGTTGACTCGTTGTAAGATTATTATTATGATTAAAGGAAAAGAAAAGAAAGAAAACCTTAGTATGGCAGGCTCTTGTCTCCTGTACTATAGAAACATCCTAAAACTTGAAGTTTTAAATAACTGTAAGACTCTGATTCTTGGTTCCCTCTTCAGTAAGAATCTTCACCTCTTCAGTTTCATCATTGACAGCATTCAGCTTTCTGTCTTCTACACAAAGCTTTCACAGTTAATGAGGCATATGCGTAGTTCACTGTAATTTTCTGTCATTAATAACGGCTTTGTGGTTTCCTCTGTTCACTCCTAATGCAGCTCCACTGTCGTGGGATCACATCTCAACAGAGCAGAGACTAAACTTCTGTCTGACTTTGTTCACTCATCAGTGGACACAAAGATACTGAGGGTGGAGACTCACTTGGACAGGAATAGTCAAAGCCAAAGCCAGGGTAGAGAGGTTCAGTGAATCTGCTGTAGAAGGTGTGGAGGTGGATCAGAGTGTCAGAGGAGACTCTGTAGAAGGACACAAAGCCAGCAGACCAGTCTAGATACACTGCTACTCTGTCAGGGCTTTTGAAAGACACACCTGTATGTGTTCTGGTCTTTTTGTGACAAGAATGCAGATACTCGTTCAGACTCCAGGACTTGTCGTTTCCTCCAAACTGGCAGTCAGCATCATTTCCTCTCCTGCTGATTCCTCTGTAAGTCACCCCTACACTAAAGCATCGTTCAGTCTCGACTTCCCAGTAACAGCGTCCGGTCAGCCCGTTCCTGCAGAGCAGCTGTGTGACGGTGTCAAATCTGTCCGGATGAAAACGATAAGGCTGGTCCTCCTCCACAAATGTCACCCGTCTGTTGTCCTCAGACAGAAGAAGCCTTCTGTGAGCTGTGTTTGGGTCCAGTGTGAGTTCACAAGCATCTGATGGAGAGAATCAGACACAATAAAGCAGAAGGTAGAAGGACACAGATTCTAACAACTAGGCAGTTACTCATACTCTATATTGCAAATACAAATGTCATTAAGAATGCGTCCTGTGAAGGACTTTCATCACCACAAAGACATAAAAACATGTGTTAGTCTGTGTAGCACAACCTTGCTGTTGCAGTCACTGCATTTTACTCAGCTCAGACATGCATACGTTTTAAAGACACTCCTGCAACTTTCTCTAAAATTCAGCTTCACATCTCTCATCTGCAGTCGCTGGCCTCACCGACCTCTAAAATATTTATTGTTCTGTTTGTATCGCTTGCTCTCCATCTGTCATCCCCCACCCCGCCCCAAACCCCCACTCTCTTCCCAATCGATGGAGGCAGACGGTTGCCTTCCCTGAGCCTGGTTCTCCCCCCCTCCCTATTAGGTTTTTATTTTTTTGGTTCCTTCCCACCATCACTAACCACTTGCTCAGTTGGAGTCCAAAGACAATTTTGAATTTTTGGATTCTCTGTGTACATTTGTATGGTCTTCATCTTCCTATGTTAAGCGCTGGGAGATGACATATGTTGTAAATTGTACAGTTGTAATTATATAAGTAAAATTGAATTAAACTGAATTGCACATTTTAGACATTATTATTTGTATTTTTGCATTTTAGTCTTGACATGAAATATGCAAACAGCACATTGATGATATATGTGACAATATACTCACAATATTTTGTATTAATCCAAATACAAAAATATGTAAGTATATTTAAAAGCACATAAAACAGAGACCATAAATATTACACAACACTTACACATCACATTCTATATTTATGTGCAGTGTATAGTGTAATATACGTACACTTCTGCAGACCACGTTTTAGCCTCTGCTCTCCACCATGGTCCACTCTGAAAGAACGAACAGTGAGGAAACGCACCATTTAAACCAAAAACACATTCCACACAACACAGAATCTACAACTTCGGCATTTAACTTGGTTCTTATTTTGGACGTTTTTGAAGACATTTCTATCAAGTAGACATCACACTTAGAAAAGTGTGAGTTCGAATAATTAAACAAGACAAAGAGTTGTCCAGTGGATTCCAATGTGAAATGGCTTTTTTACAGCTTGAGACCCAAGTTGTAATAAACAGAATGACCCTCCTGCGCTGCTCTCTTCTACAGGAATGCCTGGAAGCTCTCAGGCTGCTACAAGCCTTACTTCAGTGTTTCCAGTTTCCACTGCGGATCCTCCAGTCCATCTGAGAGCAGCCTCACCCCGGAGTCTCCTGGATGGTTGTAGGTCAGGTCCAACTCTCTCAGATGGGAGGAGTTAAAGCTCAGAGCCGAGGCCAGAGAGGAGCAGCCTTCCTCTGTGACCAGGCAGCCTGACAGTCTGTAAACAGAGACTCCATTCAATGCTGATTAGTTCATCAGTTGTGCCAAAACATAAGCACTGAGCCACATTAATAACTATTCCTCAGGCTTATTTTTATAGATTCTTCTGACTCAATATCCAGCCCTTAACTCGTCTCACAGTTTATAGAAATCTCATGCAAATTATAAATCAAATCGTGCCAGCTCGATGGGGAATGGTGCGCTATGACTTCTGGTAGCTATTCATCATTTGATTTATGAAATTCATTAAAAAAAAAAAAAAAAAAAACTCCCCCTGATGAATCGCCACCTTATCGCAGTGGAGGGGTTTCACTGTCCCTGTGATCCTGGGAGCTATGTTGTCTGGGGCATTAGCCCCTGGTAGGGTTCCCAAGGCAAAGGGTTCTAGGGGAGGGACCAGACAAAGAGCGATTCAGAAGACCTCGATGAAGACCAAAAAAAGGAGAGCCGCCACCTCGCTTGGGGAGGCTATGGAGAAGGACTTTCGGTCGGTCTTGAAGAAGTTGTGGCAAACTGCCTCAGAAAGATGGATGGATGGATGGATTAAAAAAAAATACTTTAAAAATCCCCACTGCAATACATGAGAAGTCAGCTGGACAGCTGTGCTTTATATTGAGGCAGGTATTGTATTGAAGTCAGGGTTTTGTTACAAAACTAGATGTGAACCTATGAGGAGAACTTAAAAAGAGACGTCTGTTCCAACCTGAGGGTCTCCAGGATACACTGAGGACTCTTGAGTCCAGCAGAAAGCTGCTTCACTCCTGAATCCTGCAGGTCGTTGCTGCTCAGGTCCAGCTCTTTCAAACTGGAAGTCTTGGAGCTGAGAGCTGAAGCCAGAGATTCACAGCTTCTCTCCGACAGCTGACAGTCCCTCAACCTGAATAACAGTGAGTGATGAAGACACAGAGCCTGCATGTGTTCCTAATTATTTATACTATTAGATTTTATTCTTAAAGAAGACTGACCTGAGAGCTTCCAGTTGACAGCGTGGACTCTCCAGTCCCACAGAGAGAAGCTTCACTCCAGAATCCTGCAGTTTGTTGTTATTCAACTCCAGCTCTCTCAAGCTGGAGCTCTGTGAGGTGAGAACTGAGGCCAGAACATCACAGCTCTGTTCTGACAGGTCACAAAAACTCAGCCTGGAGAAGAATAAATGATCAAATAAGCAAACAAATAATTGAAAAGATACATTAATAAGTCTTTAAGCTGAAAAAAAACAACCAATGTAACCCCCAATAGGACTGGATTTACTTTAATCCCAACCAGAGTGCATCTGTGTGATAAAACATCTCTGTAATAGTAAGTTGAAAGCCCTGCTTTAAGAGCATTGGTTGTTCTACTGTGATGAATTGTTTGTCCAAATTCTACAAGAAAAAAAATAAGAGAAAACATTTGGATTTTGGAAAAATCTGTCAATGTATTGATGCACAGCTCTCTAACACGTGTTGAAAACTTGAGATCTGTTCATGTTGGTTTGTCATGACCCATAATCTGTTCTCTGCTTTGGTTTGCAGAGACCTTTATGTGCATTTCCATAAAGGCACTGCTCCAACATTTCTAAGCTGTTATGTGAACCTGTCTGGAATAGTTTAGGAACCAGCTGACCTGAGTGCCTCCAGTTTACAGTGTGGACTCTCCAGTCCGGAGCTGAACACCAGCACTCCTGAATCCTGCAGGTTGTTCATACTCAGGTCCAGCTGTCTCACGCTGGAGGACTGGGAGCTCAGGAAAAAAGCCACAGAGTCACAACCTTTCCACGTCAGCGCACAGCCAGTCAATCTAAAAA